AACAACTCAAATAACAGCGTGAAATACTTAGAATAGTCGTTTTAGTGCTCAAAACTCTTACTATGTACACTGAAGTTCTGTGGATCCACATGGCTCCACGAGGGATCATATGGAGAGCTTAATTATTATATAATGGACAACGATCAGAATCCGTGTACTGTACGATGTAACTACATAAAATAAGTACTGCATAAAAAAACTTTTAACTATATTTTTTTAAATTTTAGTTCCGATTGTCTGAGAAGAGCTCTTTTTGAAGATTTGCGCTAAAAAGCTGTACATTCAAACGAAGAGTTCAGTTACCATAAAAAATGTCTCGGGAATATGCTCAACATTTATTACTTATATATCTTTATATTTAGTATTTAATATTTTGAGTCACAAAGTTCTAAAATAATTATTAAACTAACTGATTGGAGGCGTTACAATTGTTCCGTCGTCACTATCTGCGGGATATTCGGGTCGATATTTGCGGTATGCACTGTTTCCTCAGGAGCATTCTTTTGTTTTGATTTTTTTTTTGGTTTTTGTAATTTTTTGGGTGCTTTCTCTTTCGTAACGGGAACTTCAGACATTGGTTCTTCATACCATTCAACTCCGACTTGGTGTTGCCGGCGGTTTCTACCACGGGCATTTCGTTGACGTTCTCTACGCGCTCGCCATAAGGCCATACGTCGCCTGTAGCCCTTTATAAACCAAACACAGAAAACTGCTATCGACACATACACTGCAGAGACCACGTAAAGCCAAGGATCCGTAAATACTTCATACCAAATATCATCACTCATTGTCAAGGCCTTGACAAATCTTTTGTTATTGTGTTTTTTTATTTTTTAGATTGTTGCTACACTTTGCTGCTTTTGCCTGATCTTTTTATTAATTGCAGCAAATTTCCGCGCAAAAATTGTCAACATTAAATTGTTGTCACAGTTGGCTGATATTTAGCAGTTAAGTTAGTTGTAGTTTCACATTTTGTTTCAACACGAAGCAAGCCGTTCTGGCAGCTTTTAAAACATGTACAGTGGTTCGCCAAAAAAAAATCGTCTTTAACTTTGAGTTCAACTCAACGTTGCAAAATATTAAATACGAAAGAATAGAGAGATAATAGTACGTACAAGTTAGCAGAGTAGTCTTAGTTCTTTCCCTAAAACAACGATTTCTGTACACAATCATGGTATTGAACGTCGGCATGACCAGCTGAGTCGATTTAGCCATGTCCGTCTGTCTGTCCATCTGTCTATACGAACTAATTATTCAGTTTTTCAGATATCAATCCGAAATTTTGCACTCGTTTGCAGATTTGGGATTATTTACGAAATATATAATTTTTTTTTTGAAATTATACAATATAATTTTTAGAAATTATTTTATATAAATTTTTTTGATTTTTATGAATTTAGAGCCTGACATTTTTTGCATTAATAAAGCTTTATAAACATATTTAAAATAATTTTTTAAATTATTATTTATTAAAAACAAATGTTTTAATTCTATTATTTTATTTTTTAATTATTATTATTTGTTTTTTTTTATGTTAAAATCATTTTAGTTTTTAATTATAATTTTATTTTTACTTAAAAAAATTTTTTTTAATCATGTAAATAATTAAATATATTTAAAGTTTTTTTTTAAATATTATGTTTATTTGTTATAATTATTATTTGCTTTATTTTGCCAAATTTTGATCTAAATAATTCATAATTATTAATTAAGCAATAATTTTTATAATTTTTGATTATTTAAAATTATATAATTACGCAATAATATTTGATTATTTTTAAATTATATTATTGAACCTTGATGTGTGAAGAATTTCACTTATTTTCGATTTTTGAGATTTGAATTTAGGACCCATACCATATTATGTAAATATAGTAACACGCTTACATCAGTATTTGAAAATTAATTTTTAATTAAAATATATTTTTTTGTTTCTTTTTTGCTTCTCAGCTTTGCATGTTTTATTTTTTCTTACTCTTTAATTTGAATTTAGTTTTTGTACATATATTTGGTATTAAATTTTGTTGTTACAAATCAAAATATATAAATTATATAACAGTCACAAAAGATATGAATTTTTCGAAAAATTTTATTTATATATTTTTTTAGTTAAATAAGAAAAAATTAAGCTGAATACTTTCAAAAAACAAACGTTCTAAAAAAACTTACATACTGACAATAAACTGCACATAAAAAAAATTCTTAAAAATAATTAAAAAAATTATAATAAATATAAATAAGATTTTTAACTAAATAGAAATTAAAAAGTAAAGACATATTTTTGTGTGCTTGTTTGTTGTAACTGTATATGTATATGTGTGGGTGCACCAGTTAACATATCCTTATAGCGTTAGGTCTGTTAAATAACTTGAACGTTATATTTATACTCCAGGCGCAGCTCTAGGCCTAACCGTACCATGTTCTACCGTCGGCACCGCCGCTTGCGTGCTGCGCATCCGAATCGGAATTCTTATTTGCTGCTTTCACATCACTACTTCCCAACCATATGAACATCAGGTACAGCATCATGACACCCATTATTAAACTGAGAAATACATATTCATTAAAGTACGACATTTTCAATTAATTTCCTTTTTTTCTTTTATCAATTTGGCTTCGGCGGCGTGCGAATTGTTAAATGCAAAATCTGGCAGTAATTGAGCAACGGTATATTATTTCGTTTATATATAACAGGACTTTGTAAATGCCAGTGTTGCCAATTAGTTTTTTAAATTTCATAGAAATAAAATATATTATAAAATAATATTTAAAAATTTGTGCATAAATTATAACTTTTTGCAAAATTTTTTTTATAAAATTATTGGAAATTTTTGAAAAAAAAAGTATTAAAAAAATATATTTAATTATCTAGTTTTTACTTTTTACAATTTTTTTTAATAAAATATTTTATTATAAATTTTAGAAGCACAATAGTCTTTAAATATTTATGTCAAAAGCACACAAGTAAAAAAAACATTATTTAAAAATAAAAATAAATAAAAATTTATTTAATAAATTTAATTTAAACTTTTTGCAAAATTTTTTAAAAATATTTTTCTGAAAAAAAAATTTTTTTAAATCTAATATTAACTTTTTAAAAATTTTTTTCTGATATTTTACTGAAAAAAATAAGGTGGTAATTTATTTAATTAATCTAATTCTAACTATTTGAAAGTTTTCAAATTAAAATATTTTTCTGAATCAAAAATGTAAAAAAAAAAATTAATGGGCAATACAAATATTTTTGAGTAAAATACAAAGTTTAAAAAGCGAGTTTAGTACTTGATGCACACACTTTAAAACATTTATTTTTGTGAAAAAACAACAAATTTGGAAAACTTATAACTAATTATTAAAACATTTTTGAGTATTTTTGTAGAAAAAAAAAATTAAAATAAATTGTCCTTAAATGTTAAAACTTAAAAGTAAACATGTTTGAAAAAGATCTTAAAAATAATATAGTTACATTTTTAAAAACTTAATAGCAATAGATTGTGAAATAATTTTAAAAGTTTAAAAAAATAAATAAATATTTTTGTGTTTAACAAAATAAATTGTAAAACGCTAAATAAATATATAAAAGCATATATGCATTTTAAATTTAAAAAAAAAAAAATAAATATGTCTTTAAAAAATATTTTCCAAAGCATTTATGTAACAAAGTTTTCAGTTACATTTTACTTTCCTTTTTGATTTAGAAACTGTAAAAAATTTGAAGTTTTCCGAACAACAAAAGCAAGAAGCGTAATTTCTTAAGAATATACTTTTTATTGCAAAAAAGAATTCAAAAAATTTCGGTTATGCTTTTAAATTGTTTTTTGTTTTGTTTGAAAACTTGAAAAAATTTACAGTTTTCTGAAACAGAAAATTTAAAAGAAATAAGTCAAAATAATATTACATTTGTTTGAACCAGTGCTCAAAAAAATTAATGAAAATTCCACGGGCACTTAAATAAATTTTAAAAATATATTCTTTTTTAAAAATCATTATTTTTAAAAACAATTAAATTGCACCAAAATAAATATTTTGAATTATTTTTGAAGCTTTTTTGCTACCGGTAATCTTAAAAAAAAAGCAATTCGAAAAACAATTCAAAACACATTTTCCAAATTTTTGTTTGGTGCGCTAAAAAATTTGTTTTCAAAAATAATAAGAGATAAATTCTTAAAATTATTTCATTAAATGCTAATATTAAAAAAATATTTCCAAAATATGAAGTAACGCAAATTTTAGAAAAAAAATTTTAAATACTAAAAATAAGTTTAAATTGCAAAATATGTAGCATAAAAATTACAATAAGCATAATTTGTCTTGTGTATACTTTACTATTTTTGAAAGTTTTATTTTAAAACCTAATTTGATTTTTTCGAAATATTTTTTATGAAACACATTTTTTCAAATACTTTTTTCATTTTGAATAGTAAATTTATCTATCTTAGAAGGTAAAATTTTTTGAAATTTGCATTTAAATAATAATTTAATTTTGATTTTTTTTCGGTGGCATTAAATTTTTCGAAATATTTTTCATAAAGAAATATTTTTCAAAACTTTTTTTCATTAATAATAATAAATGTTAAAAAGTTTAAATTTGCATTTAAAAAATAATGTAATTTAACAAAAAACTTTTTTCAGTGATATTAAATTTTTGGAAATACATATTTTAAAACACATTTTTGCAATAATTTTTTGTTAGTAAATGCTAAAAAACCGTTTTTTTATTTCAAAAAAAATTAAATTAAAAAATTTTTTTTCAGTTGCGCTTAATTTTTGGAAATATTTTTACAAATTTTTTCAAATAATCTTTCAAACATTTTTTCGTTTGTGTATATACATGCTAAACTAACATTTTTTGGAAAAAAATCATTTAAAAAATAATTAGGTTTCGTAAAGATATTTTTCGGGCAAACTAATTTTTGAAAAATATTTTTTATAATACACATTTTTCTAATATATATTTTTTATAATTTTTATTAAACTATTTGGCAAAAAAAAATTCATACTGTCTTTTTTTTTTGTTTTTTTTTTGTTTTTGCAAAAGATTGTGAGCAGAGGATTCTTACTGTACCCATTTTTGTGTATGTTTGTATGCATACGTGTATGTTTATGAGAAATGGGCAGCACAAAACGCCTTGTGAGTAGAATTATTAATACAAATTCCGTCGAAAGTTTGATTTTAACCCTGCCTACATGTTAATTTATAAAGCTGCAGATGTGCTGCAAACTGCTCCGGGATCTCGGGCAATTCGAACTCGTTTGGGTTCTCGACGTTGAAAAATACGTCGCCACTTTCGATATAATATTCATCACTATCTTCTTCACTGTCATCTTCACTTTCAGAAAACTCATCAATTTCCAAGATTACGTCAGCACTCGAATGCTCACCAACAGCATCAATAACTGCACTACCTTCAGTCCACAAATACCAAATGAATGCTATCATCAGCAGGGGCAATGTCAGAACGAATAGATATGCATAACCAAAATTTATTTCTAATTTCATGTTTTGGCCTTGTTTGCTTTTAAAATTCTTTCGTATAATGCTCACTCCCGTTAGAACTCTCACTATGCAAAACTTTTACCTGCTGCAACAAGAGAGGAGGGTTGCCAATTTAACGCATTTACAGAAAGAAGTGGAGAACAGGCTAAAAAGTATGGAAGAGAAAGTTGAGGTTGTGCTTCTTCAGGATATGGAAAGTCCTGAAAACGCTTGAAACATCACCTGAAAAATATGATTTCCAAAACATCGAATATCCCTTAAAAGCGAAGCTTAGGCATTGAGTGCTCAAAATCATAATTTTGCTTTAAGACAATAGTTTTCAGAAACTTTCAAAGCTTCTTGAACACAAAATCTCGTTTTATATTCTTAACTAACTAAGGCTTAGTAAAGAGGTTTAGTCCTCGCTAATTAGGTGTCAAAGAAAATGTCATTTTTCCAAAAGAAAAAAATTAATTTCACAAGCTTTCAAAAATACGTGGCTTCAAAGCTTTATTTCAGATGTAAATAACACAAGAAGCGTAAACAATCCTTTACCACAGGAAGAGTGAATATTTGTTGGTATCTGGAAATGATGAAAGGAATTTCTAAGATTTTACACATATTGCTTGACAGACCTCTAACACAGGGAGAGTTATCAAAACTGTTACTTATCATAAAGCCCTGACGAAGCTGGCAGTTATCATTTCTACGCATGCTTAGAGAAATATATATCAGGATAGTAAGTAATTAGTAAGATCGACGTTAACATAAGTTCAATGGAGTATTTTGAACAATGTCTGTGAGTTAGCAAGAAAATTAACTGCGCTAGATTGTAACTCATTAATTATTCTAGTTTGTAGCCACAAATTAAGTCGATTAGGAATCATAGGAGAGAGTTCATATATATCCGGGTAAGTACCAGTTATGTAGTTATGGCTTTTTTGGGATCGATTAAGACAGATTGAATGTTGTTGCATTGACATAAGAGGTTGATTGAAGGTTTTGGTATTGCTGTCGAGGTGGCAACCCTTGCGCTGATAAAAGTTCGTGTACCCTTGATTTATTAGATATTTTATTTTAAGTTTTTATATATATATATATATATTTTTGTACTAGCTCTGTGTAGTTATTTTTAAGAGACACTTGCAACTTCCCATTACTTTCAAGCAAAAATTATTTAATTTCCATCGCGTCTTTCCTCAGCCGCTTCGACCACAATAAATATATACAAAATAAATTTTGTGATTAAAAAAATGTTTTTTCTTTTAAATTTTGAATTCGTTTTAGTTAATGTAATTTATTTTAAAATATTTATAGTTCTATTTTTTGTTGGGATTGAATGTTAATTTCCTAATTTTTTTATTTTAATTTTCAATTAATTTTAATTAAGATTTTAAATATAATAAATTAAAAATATTTCAAATAAAACTCAAAAACATTTTTTTGATCAATGCAATACAAGTTTTTGTGCGAATTTTATTAGAAATGCCTCAGTAATGCGCTACTGCCAATGCCGCGCACATTGCCGGACCATTATGTTTACAATAAATAGTAACGCCCGGTAAGCGCTTATAGCATTTATCTAACATTTTCGGGACGTATCATCCGTGTTCGGTAGGTGTAGAAAAATGCCGCCAAACAGTCCCTGATATAGACAAGCGCCACTAAGCTAACTATAAGGACCAGACACCACAGATACGGTGCCATGACACCTTAGTTGGAACTACTTTTAATAGTTTTGTTAATTTCTTCGTTTATGCTTTATAGGTACGTGTGTGTATGAGGCTGAAGTCGCGCTTGTGCTCCGTCGTAGAGTTCCCGAAAAAATAATGTTTGTGTGAGGTTCATTTTTGTATGTTCTTTCATTTATTTTACGCATTTAATGCTTTAAGAAGTAAGTTGAAAATAAAGCGAAAAATACATTAAGACATATTGCCAACTTTTGTAAATAATTAACTAAAAAAATTAAATCTTATATTTACTTAAGATTATATTTGATTTAATTATTCCTTCTAATATTTAAATTTTTATAATATTTTAAATTTTTTTTTATAATTTAATTAAAATGTTACATTTTTGTTTTACATTTTTATTTTATTTTTATTTTGTATAAAATATAAACATATTAACCTATCTTTCATATTATTTTATTTTAATATTTTTATTTAATTTATTTAATTTTTAATTTTATTTAAAAAATTTTAATTTAATTAATTCTTAATTTAATTTAAAAAATTTGATTTAAAAAATTTAATTTTATATAAATCCTAATTTTCTGCAATATAAATTATATGTTTAATATTTATTTAAAATTTAATTTTCCAACTTTTTTGGAAGACAAAAAGCATTTCATTATAATAAAAAAAATTTAATTGTAAAAATTGCTTAACGAAAATAAAGAATTTAAATTTTTATTTTAATTGTTAAAATATATAAGAAATTTTTTTTTACAATTAGAAGAAATTAAAATTTTTGGAATTAAAATTTTTGAATATAAAATTTTAGTATAATTTTTTTCAATTATTTTTTTTTTAATTTAAATCAATAATTTTATTTATTTTTTTTAGTATGCGTTTTTCATTAAATTTTCTAATTATCTTTTTATTATTGTAAATTAATTTGAATATTTAATATTTTTAACTTAAATGTATTATATATTTTATTATGTTTAATTTTTTTTACTTTTTATCAAGTTTTGAATTAAAAAATTTTTTTTTTCTTTTAAAAAATTTTAAAGTTTTTAAAATTATTTTTACAACTAATTCAAAATATTTTTTGTAGTTTGTTGATTTTAAAAGTCACGCTTTAGAAAAAACTTGTCTTTTAAGTACTAATATTTGATGATTTAATTTATTGAAAAAAAATTTTATTCTAACAATAAAAAAAGTTGGTGTCATACATGAGCAAAACAAAATTGAAAACATTTTTATTTTAAAAATTAAAGAGCTTAATTTTCTACAATTTTTCATAAAAATTATTTTAATTTTAGTTTTAATTATAATTTTGATGTTAATTGGAAAAAAAGTTAACTCAAAAAATTAAAAAAAATTATATCATAAAATGTTTGAAAAAATTAATTTTAATTTTAGTTTAAATTTTTATGTTAGTTTTAATTTTATTTCTTGTAAAGTTATATTATTTTTATAATTTTAGACATAATTTTTACATTTATTCAAATTTTAAGCTTCTTTAAAGTTACGTTTAAAATTCTTAATAGGTTATATTCCTCTTTTGAATTTTCAAAACTTTCCTACACTGATACGTTAAAGAACATTTTATTTTTACAAAACATGTGTACTGTAAATAAATCAATTACACTGCCGAAAAAGAAGACAAAGAACGAGAATGATCCATTGAGTGAGTCTTAATGCAGTTAGTGAATTTAAAAGTATCTTGAAAATATGTACATTAATGTATGCATGTGTAGACACTAAGTTTTCGCAGACATATGTGTAAAATCATGCAACAACAATCTTTCAACTGAGCAACAGCTGAAAGTATCAAAGTATTAATTGAGTGAAGAGCTTGGAGTTTTGTCGACTCGTGGCTTGTCTGCCATCAAATGTTGGCGCTTTTCAACCCAGCACAACTTTTGTCTCCACCTCCACTAACGTCAGCGCACTAAAACAAAAGATAAAACAAAAAAGTAAACAAATGAGTGTTTCCCCCACTAACTGCACTCATAATTGAGTGGCAACCACTTGTCTGCCCTTAAACGCGGCATTTCAGTTATTTTATTTACCGCGAAAACTTTTCAACTACAAACCAGGTCTATCAGCAGACACATGTGCATAAAGTTGCTGCAGTTTGTGTAGCTAGAAGAGGCAGGACGTTGCCACAGCGGCAGCTGCAGTCAACCACTCTAATGCAACAACTCACTTTATTGCTGTTGTGGTTTCAACACTTCGCTTGTATCGTCCGCGGCCAACAACTTACCTAGCCTCCTGCGATGCACATGTGATTACCATACCAATTACGAGTAGTGAACCTCCACTCGAACTTTTGTTTTGAGTGTCTCATTCCGCGTTGAAGTGCCATTGTGTGGCGGCGACGCCGGCTAATAGACGACAATGCACTTAGAGATTGAAAGCGCAGTTGGAGTGTTTGCCGACCGCGTGGTGCTATCAGTGACTGCGTGAGTAGCGGCTAATGTTGAAGACCACTCAACGCTTTGAGGGTGCATTAGGCGCGATTTGATGCGGTTGAGTGCTTTTAAGAGGCTGTTGTTGTTGCATATTGCTAATATAATGACTTTTTCATATGGCTCATCTCTTTTTCAATAGAAGAATAGAATTTTTGAGTAAATTAAATATGTTAAGTAAACGCTGTACGCTTTGTCTGAGAGTTTTTGTCACAAGTTCATTTAATAATTTTATAATACGCTTAATAATATTCTATAATAAAATTTTTTTTTGTTTTCAAATTTTTTTTTTTAATTTTCTTCAAAATATTTACTTTCCTTGACTTTTTTTTAGCAGCAATTATTGCTTTCTCCAATTAGTTTCATACCTTTGACCCATTTTTCCACCTTTTCACTTTATTTACTTCAACTGAAATCTGTAAAAGCAATCACTGCAATATTGAGTGTCTTTTGAGTGCATTACTTGCCCCGAGTATCTTCGCAGCGCAATTTCACTTTTATGCGCATTACCATTCACTTAACACTTTTAATTGCTTTTATTCAATCCCATAACTCTGAATTTCCCTCATCATCATCTGCACGCCGCCATCTTTTATTTGCACTTTACTCACACATTCACTCAAACTCGACGCACCGCATACACAGCAACTCATTTTAATCACTTTATCGCTTCGGAATGGCCATTTCGGCGTTGTCTCAGCTGTTTTTAATTGAAAAACTTTTGTTAATTGTCGCAGTCGCCATTTGCTGACAATTTTTTGTTTTGTGTTGTTGCCTTCGAACTGCCGGCATTGTTGCAGTGTGTAATTGTTATTGCAATTGCAGTTGCCATTATTGTAATTATTTTACAGACTGCGTTCTGTTTGCTTTTCTTCGTTTTATTTTTATTACTTTAACTTTCATTTGTTGTTGGTGTTGTTGCATGCTGGTGGAGAGCGCATATTCGCGCGACGCATAAACAAATGGGAAAGTTTAATTATTAAGCGCCTGAAAGCAAGCTTCCTTTCGCATCTTTTGCGCACGCACGCACACGCGCCTTGCTCAAACTGCTGCTGACCTCGCGGCCAACCCAAATGGCACGCTGCACAAATGTTGGTGTATTTGTGTTATGGACGCATGTGGCA